CGCCTGGCTGATTTTTTGATTTATTGTAGAGATGAGGTCTCGCTGCCCAGGCGGGTCTCGAACCCGCGGGCTCAGGCAATCCACTCACCTCAGTCTCCCAAAGGCGCGGGATTACAGGCTGAGCCACCGAGCCCGGCTGAGTGCAGTCACTTAAAAAGCAACATGGAAGGGTCTGGTCTAGATGGGTTGAGTCTCACGTTTACAATCAGCAAAGCCCTGTTTTCTCAATGTTTTTGATCCCGGCGTTCTGCTTGTAGATTCTGCCTGCCCCTCGTCCCACCCTTGGAGACTCACTGTGGAGGTTTGGGAAGGAGAAAGCCAACTAATCGCAAGCACTCACTGGCTCCATGCCAGGAAAGCAGAGTCCCTCAGAGTTTTTGTTGACCCGGGTGCCCACCTAAAACTGGAACTCGTCTTCTTTGTCCATTTCGGCTGTGGGCACCTGGCGTTCCATGGGGATCGGACTCTGAAACTTCACTAAAGGGAAATGAAGTGACAGACATGCTAGAAATGCTGGAGGGTTTGGTATTTGGGGTGTGGGCTGGGAGTCGGACATTCTGCTGTGATCTCATCTCTGCGTTAGGAGCTGCCTCCCAACCCCTCACTTTCCTCTTCTGCAACATGGGCACAATTACAGTATCCGCCTTGCAAGATCATCGTGTGTTCAGTAACTGGGCCAACACCCGACACACATACATTAGGCGCCTAAGAATTGCCAGCTATTGTTAGTTTCCTTATCTGTGGGTATAAACATTTCAAACATTCTTCCAGCACTATACTTCTTGTGACTGCTGTGAAATAACAGACTGTCATTTGAAGGGGGTGGACATGTCCTAGCAACATTGTCATCACAGCCAGGTTGGCTCACCCTCTTCCGATGGGATTCCAGCCTGTGTGTGCCGTGGCCCTGGCCGGGGGTGACACGCTTTGGTGGGTGGGGAGGGCGGTCCACCCCCGCCGGTGTGCTGCCCTGCACCCCATAAACATCGGCCAGGCGCTGACCACTCCCCTCCTATCCCTGCCACGAGCCATGGAAACGCATCTCCTTCTTTTCTTTTTTTTTGAGTTGGAGTCTCACTCTGTCGACCAGACTGGAGTGCAGTGGCCACTCCCGGCCACCGCGGTGTCGACTTGCTGGGCTCTGGCAATCCTTCTCCCTCAGCCTTCCGAGCAGCTGGAACTACAGGTGCGTGCTACCACGCCCGGCTAATTTTTGATTTATTGTGGAGATGAGGTCTCGCCAAGTTGCCCAGGAGGGTGTCGAACCCGCGGGCTCAGGCAATCCACTCACCTCAGCCTCCCAAAGGCGCGGGATTACAGGCTGAGCCACCGAGCCCGGCTCTTTCTTTTCAAGGAGGTGCGTTTATGGGGCACACGGATGGCCCCAGATCCTGGCCTAATCTGGTCCTCACAGTGACCCATGTGACTAGGTGTTTTATCATTTAATTATATGTTCGATTCAAGAGCACAAGTACAGGGTTGTTTCATGGGTATATTTCGTGATGGGGAGGCTTGGGCTTGTATTGAGCTTGTCATCCAAATAGTGATCATGGTGCCCCGTAGGTCATGTTTCAACCCTTATTTCCCCCCCTTTCTCTCCTCTGTCGAGGTCCCCAGTGCCTGTTGTTTCCATTTTTATGTCTCTGTGTACCAGTATTCAGCTCCCACTTTTTTTTTCTTTTGCGGAGTCGGGGGTCTCACTCTGTTGCCCAGGCTGAAGTTAGTGGCACGTTCCCAGACACCACAACCTCGACCTGCTGGGCTCAGGTGATCCTTCTGCCTTAGCCTTCTGTGTAGCTGGAACTATAGGCACACGCCACCATGCCCGGTTAATTTTATTTATTTATTTATTTATTTATTGTAGAGGTGAGGTTAATTTTATTTATTTATCTATTGATTGATTGATTGATTGTAGAGGTGAGGTGTTGCCAAGGTGCCCAGGCTGGTCTCGAACCACTAGACTCAGGCAATCCTCTTGCCTCCACCTCCCAAAGTGCTGGGATTATAGGAGTGAGCCACCACACCCAGTCTAGCTCTCACCTCTTAGTGAGAACATGCGGTATTTAGTTTTCTGTGTCTGCGTTAGTTCACTTAGATGAGTGGCCTCCAGCTGCACCCGTGTTGCTGTAAAGGACAGAATTTTGTTCTTTTTTATGGTTGTGCAGTATTTTGTGGTGTATATATGCCACATTTTCTTTATCCAACCCACTGTTGATGGCCACTTAGGTTGTTTCCATGTCTTTTACTGTTGTGAATGGTATCGGTAGATGTTTCTTTTCTTTTCCCTTTTTTCCTTCCTTCCTTCCTTCCTTTTTTTTTTTTGAGTTGGAGTCTTACTCTGTTGCCCAGGCTGAAGTGCAATGGCACCCTCATGGCTACTGTAGCCTTGACCTGCTGGGCTCAGGCAATCCTTCTACCTTAGTCTTCTACATAAGCGGAAACACAGGTACGTGCCACCATGCCTGGGTAATTTTTTGATTTATTATAAAGATAAGGTCTTGCCAAGTTGTCCAGGCTGGTCTTCAACCCCTGAGCTCCGACAGTCCACTCACCTCCACACCCAAAGTGCTGGGATTACAGCTACCACAGCCACAGCTAGATGCTTCTTTGTTTATTTTATTTATTTTTTTGTGTTGGAATCTCACTCTGTCATCCAGGCTAGAGTGCAATGGCACACTCATGGCTCATCACAGCCTCATCCTCCTGGGCTTGGATAATCCTTCTGCCTCAGCCTCCTGTGTAGCTGGGACTATAGGAACATGCTAATTTTTGTAGAGACGGGGTCTTGCTATGTTGCCCAGGCTGTTCTCAAACTCCTGGGCTCAGATGATCCCTGCATCGGCTTCCCAAAGTTCTGGGATTACAGGTGTGAGCCCAGCCTTCTTTGTTTACTTTCTGAAGGAGGAAATGCCTAAAGTCACAGAACAGACCAAGGATGGACCAGGATCTAACCTGCTCTATCTGGTTCCTTTGGGTGACATCGCCCATGGGCACATACTTCCTTAGGGTCCCTGGTCCTACCGCCCCACCCTACCCTGATACACTACCAGGGTGGTCATGTTCTCTGGGCTCTACCGAGCATGGGTTGTCTGAGTAGACAGACGCAGTGTACACCTTTGCTTATATTAGAGGACACTTTCAAAATGTAAGCAGCCAGGCATGGTGGCTCATACCTGGAATCCCAGCACTTTGGGAGGCTGAAGTGAGAGGTAACAATTCAGGATTAGGTATACAAATGGTAAAGTCTGGGCCTCTCTTTGGTCCCCACTTCACCTGATTTGCGATAAGGTACTCTTACTGATATTATGTGTACCCCCGACACACGCCAGAAGTTTCCAGCTACTGCCAATCCCTTTCTTATAGTATTACGGTAAATGTTCAGGATCCGTTTATGAGTGAGAACATGTGGTACTCAGCTCTTTGCTTCTGTGATAGATCACTGAGCATGATAGACTCTAAATCCATCCAAGTTGCTGTGAGTCCATGATTTTGTCCTTCTTTATGGCTGCATAATATTCCATCATGTATATGTACCACATTTTAAAAATCCAGTCCAGCTTCAATGGGCAGTGTGGTTGGTTCCACAGTACTGCAATAAACATGCATGCGCAGGTATCTTTTTTGTAGAATGATTGGAGTTCCTCGGGGTATATTCTTAGTGGGGGGATTGTGGGGTCATATGGAAGGTCAATTGATCACCTCTCTTAAAAATAATTTTTTTCAGCCAGGCTCGGTGGCTCAGCCTGGAATCCTGCACCTTTGGGAGGCTGAGGTGAGTGGATTGTCTGAGCCACGCCTGGGCAGCGAGACCTCATCTCTACAATAAATCAAAAAATCAGCTGGGCATGGTAGCGCATGCCTGTAATTCCGGCTACTTGGAAGGCTGAGGTGGAAGGACCGCCGGAGCCCAGCGGGTCGAGGCTGCGGTGGCCGGGAGCGGACACTGCACTCCAGTCTGGGTGACGGAGTGAGACTCCAACTCAAAAAAAAAAAAAAATTGTTTTTCTCATAAAAGCAATACAGGTGTATCATGGGAAATTATAACATTCAGAAAAGGCAAAAGAATAAAAATAAATTAGAAGGCCAGGCATGGTGGCTCACACCTATAATATCAGCATTTTGAGAGGTGAAGGAGGGAGGATTGCTTGAACCCAGGAGTTTGAGACCAGCTTATGCAACATAGCAAGACTTCGTCTCTACAAAAAAAAAAAAAAATTAGCCAGGCGTGCTGGTGAACGCCTGTTGTCCCAGCTACTCAGGAGGCTGAGGCAGAATGATCGTCTGAGCCCAGGATGTCAAGGCTGTGGTGAAACGTGATTGTGCCACTGCACTCCAGCATGGGCGAGAGGGTAAGACCCTGACTGAAACAAACAAACAGACAGACAAACAGACCTGCTGTTCATTTTCTGGAGTGTATCCTCCTAATTCTTTTTTTTTCGAGACATGCTTTGTCACCCAGGCTGAAGTACAGTGACACAATCGAAGCTCACCGTAGCCTTGAACTCCTGGCTCAGGCAATCCTCCTGCCTCAGCCTTCCAAGTAGCTGGGACCACAGCAGATACCACTACACCTGACTCATTTTTTATTATTTGTAGGGACAAGGTCTCTCTATGTTGCCCAGGCAGATTTCAAACTCCTGGCCTCAAGCGATCCCCACACCTCGGCCTTCTGAAGTGCTGGGATTACAGGTGTAAGCCATTGCACCCTGCTAGAAAGACTTAATAATTAACCTTTTCCCACCATGTGTGGATGCTGGAGGGACACGTTTTTTAAATGCCCAGTTTGTGAGGCATCGAACAGAGCAGAAAAAGGAAGTGACGTGATCCCCCTTTCAAGGTACAAATATAATTGAAGCATTCTTTCCTGCTTTTCTTGCTTTGAAAGTCTTTTCTTTTTTAAGTTTTTAATTTATTAAGCCGGTCGTGAAAAATCCAAACAATGGCCACAGATACCGTCACTGCATCATCTTTAGTTCTTTACCTATGATCCAATCTCCAGCTCACTTTTTGCCAGCACCAACACTGGCTTTTGCAGTCCCCCTGACTTTCTTCATTCTGTTCTTGTGTTCCTCTTGCTGCTTCCTTGAGGTCTTTTTCTTCTCGTACAGGCCATGTTTGGCAAATCCATGTTTGTGTTCATTTTTCTTTGGATAATCCAAAGAATCATAAACCGTGCCAAAGCCAGTTGTCTTGCCACCACCAAAATGAGTTCTGAATCCAAATACAAAGATGACATCTGGTGTTGTCTTGTACATTTTGGCTAGTTTTTCCCGAATTTCTGTCTTAGGTACTGTTGCCTTCCCGGGGTGAAGGACATCGATGACCATTCTTTTCTGTGGAAGCAGACTGTTGGTCATGAATTTCCTGGTCTGAATAGTTACTGTGTCATTCATGATGGCTGTCCATCCTCAGGCAGTCAGGGGGGAAAAGAGACGAAAGTCTTTTCTTCGTAGGTCCTTGGATATCTCTTCTAACCAAATAGCTCTTTGGAGAAAATATCGTATGATTAAAAACAATGGCGCCTTTAGTGTTTTAGACATTTTAGGAGGAAGTTTCTTTTTGGCTTGTTTGGGGTTTTTGGTTTGTTTTTGAGTCGGAGTCTCACTCTTGTCACCCAGGCTGGAGTGCAGTGGCGTGTTCATGGCCACCGCAGCCTCCGCCTGCTGGGCTTAGGCGATCCTTCTGCCTCAGCCTTCCAATTAGCTGGAACTACAGGCACACACCATTTTTGCCTGGCTAGTTTTTTGTGATTTATTGTAGAGATGAGGTCTCACCATGTTGCCCAGGCTGGTCTCGAACTGCTGGGCTCAGGTAATCCCCTCGCCTCGGCCTCCCAAAGCACTGGGATTGCCGGCTGAGCCACCGTGCCTGGCCAGGAGGAAGTTTCTAAGCCTTAGTTTTCTACTCTGTGAAATGGGATAATAATAATATGCACTTCAATAAGGTTGTTGTGGGCATTAAATGAGGTAATGTATGTAAAGGGCTTCCTGGCACACAGTAAACACTCAATGAATATTAGATGCTATTTTCTGTAAATACTGCATAAGAAAATAAGCAACTGCTTTGGGTTGACAGCACGATTATGATACATGGTGAGAAATGTTAATTTTTGTTTTTTGCTTTTGCCTAGTATAGCATTTAAGAAACATTGGTCGAATGAATGGTGCCATGGAAGATACTGTGACTTTTGGACCTTGGTTAAGATGCCTTGTCCATGAGAAATCAATAGTGTGGTCTTTCTACATAGCATGTGCTCTTAAAAATCTGTCCCATATGTCTGGAAGGGTTAGGGCGCCTTGTTTTCTTTTCTTTTCTTTTTTTTCTTTTTTTGAGTTGGAGTCTCACTCTGTCACCCAGACTAGAGTGCAGTGGCATGCTCCCGGCCACTGCAACCTTGCTGGCCTCCAGCAATCTTTCAGCCTCACCCTTCCAAGTAGCTGGAACCACAGGCGTATGCCACCATGCCTGGCCTATTTTTTGATTTATTGTAGAGACAAGGTCTTGACAAGTTGCCCAGGCTGGTCCCACCGTGTTTTCTTAGTAGTTTTGTTTCTATAGTCAAGCAGGCACAGGAAGTTTGTATGCAGAAAGTTGTATATATACACGCAGAGACAAAAGTCTGTTTTCACGGACTTATTCATCGGATGAGACTGTGGCCACAACTATTAGTAACGATTCAGCCAGGTCCCCACATGTTGTGGATTTTGTCGTTGTCGCCAAACATTTGAATCAGCACAACATTGTGATAGCAGCAAGATCGTGCCTTGTGACATACTCCAGGGCTTTGCATCTTCAGCTTACTGAGAGTGGGGGCCAACCTTTGCCTTGGGACGCCACTCCAGGTGGGCAGGTATTTGGTAGCTTGGCACACGTTGGACACCTGAGCACCCACACGAATACGTAACACCTTGGCCCAGACCCTGTTGCCTTCAGCTTGCGAGTGTGACTGCACGATCACTGCCTTCCTGGTTCCACCCGTGTGTGTGTCGTACGTCCTTTCCGATCTCCGAAGCTTTTCAAGGGACGGTTTTCTCCTCTGCAAAATGGCAGGCGTGGAAGAGAAGGCTCAAAGCTCTTTGTGTTTCAGCCCGGGGAAGTAGAAAGACCAGGCCTGGAACGGACTCTAGCTCTTGTCAGCCTGGGATTCCGAGACTCAGTTACCTTCCCTGGAGAATGGGGAGAATAATTGTGGTTATTATGAGGGTCGAAGGCAAGTGGTTTGGAAGTGGGGTTGGATTGGGCAGTGGGAGGGATTCTGGGATTCCCTCTCAAGCCAGACATAGAACAGTGTAATGCAACAGTGGAACATAGCAATGGAATAATGAAACAACAATGAAACAGTTTGACAGCGCGATGCAACAGTGGAAGTAGCAATGAAATAATGTAACAACAACATAACAGTTTAGCAGTGTGATGCAACAGTGCAACAGTGGAACATAGCAATGTAATAATGTAACAATAATGTAACAGTTATACAGTATGATGCAACAGTATAGCAGTACAACAGTGACACAACAGTGTGACAATACAATGCCACAGTGTGACAGTGTAGCATGACACTGTAGTAGTGTCATGCAACCATGTAACAGTGTAAGACAACAGTGTACCGCCATAATGTAACAGTGTAATGGTGTCATACAATTCTGTAACAGTGTCACACAATAGTATAATAGTGTAACAGTGCCAAGTGACCCTCAACTAGGACGGAGCTAAAGGTCAATAAGAGGCCAGCACTTCAATAATGTTTTTTTGTCTTTTTGTGACTAGGAAATTCTGATCTGCACCCTGGTTTGGCCCACCATTGCTGGAGAAATCTCATGGGATGTATCTTTCGTGACTTTGAACTTCTTGGTGCCAGGACTGGTCATTGTGATCAGTTACTCCAAAATTTTACAGGTATGTTTGCTTCCAATGCTGCAGTTGATCGCCCCCTAGATTGGGGTATCACCAGTGGAATTTTAGAATTGGGGGTTGGGAGATACCTAAGAGTTCACATCAGCACAATCTGGATTCACTTCCCAGGTCTACCCTCTGCGATACTGAGGAATGAGAGTTTTTTTTTAAAGTTATGACTTTGTGACTCTTATTTTTATTTTTATTGTTTTTACTCATTACTAAAGTAATACAAGTTCATTATAAAAAAATTTAAATGAAAACAGACACAGAAGTGTTAATACAGAAAATACCCCCATTCTTAACGACTCAGGGTGTATTTTTTTCACATTATTTTTCTTATATATTTACTTATATATCATGCATACTGTGTGTATATTTGATGAACCATAAGAAATTGCAGGTGAAAATGGTCAAAAGGCTGTTTGGCCAGGTGCAGTGGCTCACACCTGTAATCCTAGCACTTTGGGAGGCAGAGGTGAGAGGATTGCCTGAGGCTAGGGGTTCGAAACCAGCCTGAGTAACTTGGCGAGACTGCATCTCTACAATAAATAAATAAATAAATTAGCCAGACGTGGTGGCACACACCTGTCATTCCAGCAACTTGGAAGGCTGAGGTAGAAGGATCGCTTCAGCCCAGCAGGTCGAGGCTATGGTGGCTGTGAATGTGCCACTGCACTCCAGCCTGGGCGACAGAGTGAGACTCCAAGTCAAAACAAAAGCCAGTTTGACTTGTTCAACCCAATGTTCTTTTCAGGTCTAATACTGTCTGTTCTGTCACTTCCTTCTCTCACTTAACGTGGCGTCTTAACATCTTTCCACATCATCCCTGTCTTTCTGGCTCGTTATTTCTAGTGGCTGCAGATGACATCATTTATTTTATAGGCTTTTGGGCTGTGTCCCTCGTTCCCCCACCACAAACACTGTGATGATGGAAATGTACACTTTTAAAACTTTTTATTGAAGTATCATATACATACAGAAAACACACCCAGCATATGTGTACAGTCACAGACTGAACACGCTCACAAAAGCAGTGCCCAGATCGGGAAACAGAATGTCACCAGAAGCCCTTCCTGTGACTCCCCAGATGATACCACCCACCCCTGGGGAACATTTATTTCTTTTCCTTTCTTTTTTTTTTTTTTTTTGAGTAGGAGTCTCACTCCATCACCCAGGCTGGAGGGCAGTGGTATGCTCCCGGCCAGCACAGCTTCAACCTGCCGGGCTCAGGTGATCCTTCCACTTCAGCCTTCCAAGTAGCTGGAACTACGGGCACAAGCTAGTTTTTTAATTTATTGTAGGGATGCAGTCTTTCCAAGTTGCCCAGGCTGGTTTTGAACCCACAGACTTAGGCAATCCTCTCACCTTGGCCTCCCAAATTGCTGGGATTATAGGCGTGAGCCACCGTGCCTGGCCGAGAACATTTATTTCAAATGTGCTCTGAAACAGGAAGTGACCTCTACCTTCGAAGCAAGTATATACAGGTACATAAAAAAAAAAAAAAAAAAAAAGACGGGCCAGCCTTTGTTTCCTACTTCTTACATTTTTTTTTTAAGAGACAGGGTCTTTCTCTGTCAACCAGGCTAGGGCGCAGTGATGTAATCTTAACTCACTAGGGCAATCCTCTCGCCTCAGCCTCCTGAGTAGCTGGGACTAAAGGTGCTGTCACTACGCCCATCTAATTAAAAACAAACAAACAAACAAAAAATCTTGTAGAGACAGAGCCTTGCTATGTTGCCCAGACTGATCTCAAACTCCTGGCCTCAAGTGACCCTCCCAACTTGGCCTCCCACTGTGCTGGGATGACAAGTGTGAGCCGCTGTACCTGGTCTGTTTCCTGCTTCTTAAGCCAGCCCATGTGCATGGAAGGTGCCAGCCCAGGCCCATTCTAGGAGATTAAACACAAAGCCTTTGAGACCCTAGGAGGTTTGCAGTTTGCTGGGTCTTGGTTTTATAGCCCATTATGTTTGGCTCATCTGGCGGACAGGCATGTTGAGTGGTGCCTTGTCAGTCCTGCTCACGGTCTGGCTACTTTTATAGCCTTTCCTCTGCAATAGAGGATCTGTGACCTTCTTAGACGCTCAACGCCCAAAGCCAGACCAGCTCGACCCAGGTCTGCTGACCCTGTGCCCTGCGGGAGATGGCCCCAACTCCCAGACTCTTGTCCACCGCATGACCTGTGACCCCTAATGGGACCCCCAGCCTGGGGCTTGTTCAAGGGCAGGAGACAGATTGGGGCCAGTTAAGGTCTGGAAAATGCTTGCAGTGGGACCCTGGCCTAGGTTAAGGCCATGAACGTGTTAGCTCTTATCTTTAAGTTAGAAGGACAGACGAGAGGAAGAAAGCAAGAGAAATGTAGAATTAATTTTTTTTTGTTTTTTGAGTTGGGGTCTCACTCTGGCACCCAGGCTGGAGTGCAGTGGCACGCTCACAGCCACTGCAGCCCCGACCTCCTGGGCTCAGGTGAACCCCCTCAGCCGTCAAGTAGCTGGGACTACAGGCGTGCACCACCACACCCGGTTAAATTTTTGAATTTTTGTAGAGATGAGGTCTTGCTGTGTTCTCCCAGGCTGACCTCAAAATTCTGGGCTCAAGCGAAACTCCAACCTCGGCCCCCCAAATTTCTGGGACCACAGGCATGAGTCCCTGAGTCCAGCACATACCGAGGCCTTGAAAACACTTTGCCAGCTGCTAAATGCTGCACCCAAGTAAGGGATAAATAAGGGGTATGAGAGAGGAGAACACAGGGACTTTGAAGACAAACACAAAGAATTGAAAGGGTCGTGTTGCTTTGAGTCTTGAGTCTACCACCTACTTGCTGTGTGGCCTTGGGCGAGCTCTATACCCTCTCTGACCTCAGTTCATCTGCAAAATGGTGATCATGGTTCCAACAGTGTTCAGCTGTTGTGAACTGCTAAGATATGCTATTGGTGGGACATACAGAGTCGGACAATTAAGTTTGCTAAGTCATCCTAGAAAAAGTGATGTACACCTCACTGCTGAACGTCACTTTGGTCACCTTTGAAGTACTCCCCTTGGGAAGCTGCACCCCGATGCCGGTGCCTAGTAGAACTGTCAAAGCAATTTTGGAACTCTTTTTCTGGAATGGCCATCAGAACCACTATTGTATTGCCCTTGATGTCCTGAATGCCATCAAAATACCTTCTTTTCAATATTTCCTTTATCTTCGGGTAGAGAAAAAAGTCATCGAGGGACAGATCAAGTGAGCCGCGAGGGCGTTCCGATACAGTTGTTTGTTTACTAGCTAAAAACTCCTGCACAGACAGTGCTGTGTGAGCTGGTGCAGTGTCGTCATGCAAGAGCTCCTTTGGGATCATTTTTTGCACACTCCTTTCTCATGTCAAAATTTTCAGTTAAGATGTTCCTGTTTCAGTTAAGATTTTCCTGTTTTGATGTTTATTTGGTCTGCTGTGTTTCTCACTGTTAGCTGATGACGCCGACGCACCATGTGATGAATTTTTGCAATGTTCTCATCAGTTCTACTCTTCACTGGCCATCCTGACCTCTCCCCACCAGTGATGCGTTCTCTTCTCTTAGAAAAACATCCAATCCATTTGCACAATGCCGTAGTCTTTACGGCATTACCCCCACACATTTGGACTGGCACGTCCCTGATTTCACGGCCACCCGAGTGTACTGACAAATGTCACGTGCGTTCGTTGCTGTCATTAAAGCTCCGACGTTCTCGTGACGGCCCACAAAAACATGCAACCACGATAATAAGCGCCACTGAGCAAGACACCGCCACACGTCGACACGAACACAGCTGTGAGACACGGATATACCGGGGTCATGAAGCCTTGCCGAGTGGTTTGTCCAGTGCTGCCAATGTAAGCGCATGGTGACAAGTTCGCGGAGCTAATGGTCGGACCCTGTAGAGTGTCAGCATGCCCGTAGCTGCCATGAACTTGTTAGGCAAGTTGCTCGTGACTTGTTAGTAGTTAGGCAAGGCGGCCATTTATACCCTTTGCTCAGAGCATGCTGGGAAAAGTGCCCCTGAGATTCTCTAGAATCAACAGCAGGCCCGGTTGAAACAAGGAACCGATGCTGGAGCAGGCTGGCCAGAAGGGGGCACCAGCCCTTTTTTTTTTGAGTCGGAGTCTCACTGTTGTCCAGGCTGAAGTGCGATGGCACACTCATGGCCACCGCAACCTTGACCTGCTGGGCTCAGGTGATCCTTCTGCCTGAGTGAGCCTTTCAAGTAGCTGGAACCACAGGCGCACGCCACCATGCCCGGCTAATTTTTTTGACTTATTGTAGGGATGAGGTCTGGCCAAGTTGCCCAGGCTGGGTTCGAACCCCTGAGCTCAGGCAGTCCTCTTGCCTCTGCTTCCCAAAGTGCTGGGATGACAGGATGAGCCAGCATCTGACTGACTGGGCGCCAGCATTGGACCTCCCTCCTGGGGGGGTCCCATTCCTGCATCCCTTAGGGGCCAGGGGGGTTCTGGTCTGACGCCTTTCTTTTTTTTTTTTTTTTTTTTGAGTTGGAGTCTCACTCTGTCACCCAGACTGGAGTGCAGCGGCCGCTCCCGGCCACCACAGCCTCGACCTGCTGGGCTCCGGCGATCCTTCCGCCTTAGCCTTCCGAGTAGCCGGAATTACAGGCGCATGCTACCATGCCCAGCTAATTTTTTGATTTATTGTAGAGATGAGGTCTCGCTGCCCAGGTGGGTCTCGAACCCACGGGCTCAGGCAATCCACTCACCTCAGCCTCCCAAAGGCGCGGGATTACAGGCTGAGCCACCGAGCCCGGCTTAAAATTTTTTAAAAAAGAAAAAGCCCACAGTCGGCCATCAGCTTTCCCCATCACAGACCCCAGGACGGCTCCTGGATGCAACAGGTGACCTGTTATGACCCGGTGTTGTGAGTTGCTCTGCATCACGGGTCAAAGATGCAATTTGCATCCTGCCACGGCCTCACACGTGCACCTGAACCCAAAGCCCTCGCCTTAAGGCCCTGGGCGAGGTGACCCAGCTGCC